GGTGGTCAGAGGACAAATATACTTAAAAAAAAGAAGTTAGAAAAACAGAAAAAGCACCACACTTTTATTTATTTTTTAGCCACTAAAGAAGAATTTGTTTTTGCATTTGACTTGATAGATAATTATTTAACCATCACGTAATTAGAAAAGTAAAACACTAAGTTCAGGATGACAGCTGTCGTTTTAAAACAGTCTTCTGTGACTCAGCTGAAATCCAGCCTAAGAAGCAGCGTTACCTTCCCAGAAAGTCGTCCTGATCAGGGTCTTCATCGAACAGTTCAATCTCAATACTGCTCCCCGAGTGATCATACACCAAGACCTGAAAACAAACTGCATTACTGCATACTGCACACACAGTACACACACGAACAAACGAGAAGGCGCAGCTGCAGACTGGATGGAAACACATTGACTTTGTACTGAGCAGGTCCACTGCTGGTGACAGATCAAAACAAAACAACAGATTACATCCAATTAGATGAAGTTATTAATTTCTTACTGTCAGGAGAAACATTTATTCCTCATTATTGCTCTTTCACCTCTTCCACAAAGACAAAGGGAAGGGAACAGATAAATAAAATATGTTTCGGTGGCTCACAAATCAAACCAGATGAACATGATAAATATTTAAATCACATCCTAAAAAAACAAACTCATGGACAGATTTATCTTTGGTCTCTTTTTTGATCAAAATATTAAAGCGCAGAACAACAACAAAAAAAAACCCAACCCATCATTTAGTCTTAATTTTTAGTTTCTTTAAAATCTAAAAATGAAATATTAAATCTTGTCACTACATGTTATGTGTTTGTGTATTTTAATGGTGCAGTTGTGGCCGCATAACATGTAAAATCCAGCGAAAACAGCTTTCTTAGCCAAAAATGTGCACCCATTATATGACCTTTATTAATTAAAAACTCAACTGAATCAGGAGATTGAAAAAACCTCCATATTAAATACTGTCATATGTTACAACAACCCTACAAAACAAAAAAGATATCAGACAATATTACACTCTAATCTTGTCACCAGTGACTCTGTGCAGCGTCTTCTGAAGCTTACCTCATAAACTTCGTTCCACTTTGGGTTTGCGGTGTTGTGGATGACTTTG